ATTCTTGATCAAGCCCCAGTGGTGTTAAAAGGAGTGGTGTGACAGTTACACACTCCCGACTTTATATTGACTTTGTCTTCTTTGATATCAAATGTTGACAAGGTGATATGATGCATGTGCCTCCAGCATTGAGCTGCCATTTCTGTTCTCAGCCTTCTCGTTTATTCCCTTTGCTCCACCGCTTATTTTTATTTCTTCATCCCTTCTTTCCATTTAGCCTGCTGCCCCACCGAATGCCCCCCTCCACTTTCCCGGCCACCTTGAGCTTTCCTCTAGCCCCAACACTGAGTTGAGATGGTCTTCACCTGACATCATCTGATGTAAAAACACAGTGTTTGCTCACAAGTTGTCCAGGTGCATGTCTGTTTTTTTTTTTTTTTTGTAAGGTGGGTGGAGTGGTGCAATCACAGCTCAGCTGCATACGCGGAACCTATTGGCTTAAGCTCCCTCCCACTTCGGCCCCGCCCCCCGGGGGAGAGGTAGCAGATACATTCATGAAGTCTGACTCAGTAGAATTTTTCTAGGCTTTCTCCCCTTTAAAGAGACCATTATCAGCTCCCCTTTAAAAAGATCATTATTAGTTCTTTCTTTATCCTTCTTCTTAGGCTGAGATAGGTGAGAAGGCAGCCATGAAAATAAATGTCCAAATGACCATGATGGGCAGCGCTCTGGAAAGGGACTCATCAGGTAAGGGTGGTGTGGTGGCGCATGCCTGTGGTCCCAGCTACTAGGGAGGCTGAGATGGGAGTATTGTTTGAGCCCAGGAGGTTGAGGCTACAGTTAGCTGTGTTCATAGCACTGCACTCCAGCCTGGGTAACAGTGACCCTGTGTCAAAAAAAACAAAACACAACACAACAACAACAACAACAACAACAAAAAACCCTGAAGCAAGCTGTGGTGGCATCTTAGCACTTTGGGAGGCCAAGGTGGAAGGATTTCTTGAGGCCAGGAGTTTGACAGCAACCTGGGCAACATAGCAAGACCCTGTCTCTACAAAAAACTAAAAAAATTAGCCAGGTGTGATGGTGCACACCTGTCATCCCAGCTACTCAGGGGGCCGAAGTGGGAGGGTAGCTTAAGCCCAATAGTTCCGGTATGCAGTGAGCTGTGATTGCGTGCCAGTGCACCCCAGCCTAGGTGACAGAGCGAGACTCTGTCTCAAAAAAAAAAAAAAAAAGAAAGAAAAGAAATACATCCAGGCTAGGTGCAAGGGCTCACTCCTGTTATCTCAGCACTTTGGGAGGCTGAGGTGAGAGGATTGCTTCAGCCCAAGAGTTCAAGACCAGCCTGGGCAACATGGTGAAACCCTGTCTATGTAAAAAAAATACAAAATCACCTAATTGTTAAAAAACAGTTGGCCAGGTGTGTGGTGGTGCATGCCTGTAGTCTCAGCTACTCAAGAGGCTGAGGTGGGAGGATCACTTCCGCCCCAGAGGTCGAGGCTCCAGTGAGCCGGGATCACACCACTGCACTCTAGCCTGGGTGACAGAGGGAAACCCTATCTCAAAAGAAAAGAAGAAAAGAACATAAATACATCCAGAAGTATTATTGCTCTTTCTGGGACATCAGGGCCACCAGTGCTGCCTGTACCTCTTCTGCCTGGGATGGGGGCAGCCGACAGTCCTGAATGAGGGCCACAGCAGCTGCCTCTGTCAGGCTGCTAAAGTCCTGGGATGTTTTGACAGGGAGGTGCCCAGCCAGCTCACAGAGGGCAACGTTGAAAGCCTCACCATCCTTTATCCCAAAGCAGGACTTCCGGGCCCACAGAATTACTCGGACCCCTGTGAGGGCTGAGGAAGGTGATGTCTTTCCTGGCGGAGCTCCCCGGGTCACAAACAAGTTATGTGCAATCTCATGGTCAGTCAGATAATCAGTGGCCCGACATACCCTGCATATCAAGGACTCCAAGTCCAGCCCTGGCCCACGAGTGTAAAAGAGGAAGCCCGGAGCTGGGAGGCCCCGGAGCAGATGCAAATGGCCTCCAGGGTCCAGGGGCTCGCTTGGCGCCTGCTCCACGGGCAGTCTGTGGGCCAGGTAATAGCCATGTAGGTGGAGGTGGTTCACCGAGGCCAAGCCTCCCAGGCTGTTGAAGCCCACACGGAAGCCCGGGTGTAAGCTCAGCAGTACAGCCTCAATCCCCGCCCTCAGTGCACCGGGCAGCAGGCGCTGGGGGAGCCCGCGGGCAGGCTCAGGCACCAGCAGCACGTGGCCCCACTCCAAGGGGCTGACGTTGATCACCACAAGGATGTCCTCTTGCAGGAGAGTCCCAGGGAGATCAGGCTCCCGGTGCAAACGGAAGAGGACTTCTCCGGGCTGGATCTTGTTGAAGTTGAACTGTTCAGGGTCAAATGCCTGCCTCACGCTCTTGATGGTCTGTGGGCGCCTCCTCTGCACACCACGCTCCACATTCAGCTGAGCCACGAAACCCACCGCACCAGGGAGGATTTGTGTCTGTAGCTCCCGTAGGCGGTAGCGAAACAGCCCCAGCTCCACCCGCTGCTTCCAGGCAGAGCAGAGTGCAGCATCAAATGGAGACTGTGGCAGAGCTTCCAGGACGCCAGGTGCATTCCTTGGCCACTGAATCCCTTCTGCCATGAGATCCTTCTGCCCATAAACAAAGTCAGGAATGGCTTGCCGGTCCCAGTCCTCATTGTTTGGAGGTAGCAAATAGGAAGTTTCGTTTGAATCATGTGGAAGAGCCATAGAGCTGACCTAAAATAATCATAAAAGGTGAAAAACACATGATGGTAACCCACTTCTAGACATTTTAATTTTATTTATTTATTTATTTATTTTGAGATGGAGTCTCACTCTGTCACCCAGGCTGGAGTGCAGTGGCAGTGATCTCGGTTCACTGTAACCTCCGCCTCCCGGGTTCAAGCGGTTCTCCCGCCTCAGCCTCCTGGGCAGCTGGGGTTACAGGCAGGCACCACCACACCTGGCTATTTTTGTATTTTTTGTAGAGACGGGGTTTTGCCATGTTGGCCAGGCTGATCTTGAACTCCTGGCCTCAAGTGACCTGCCCACCTTGGCTTCCCAAAGTGGTGGGATTACAGGCATGAACCACTGCGACCAGCCTAAAAAGGCATGGACATTCTCTAATTCATAGACTTTGTTTTTGTTATTGTCTATCAAGATAAACTATTTCTTTGCCCACATATTCATGTTTCATAGTTCAGGAACATAGGTTAATGATAAACTTCTATGTAATTCAACCCAAAGAAATTGTTTATATTCCAAAATTACTTTGAACTTTGAAAGATACCACCCTTCCTCATCTCCTCAAAATATTTCATAGAATCAGCCAGGCTGGGTGGCTGGCCCTGTAGTCCCAGCTACTAGGAAGGCTGAGGTGGGAGGATCTCTTGAGCATGGGAGTTAAGAGGATGCAGTGAGCTATGATTATGCCACTGCGCTCCAGCTTGGGTGACAGAGTGAGAACTCGTATTTAAAAAAACAAATATCTGGCCAGGTGCAGTGGCTCATGCCTGTAATCCCAGCACTTTGGGAGGCTGAGGCAGGTGGATCACGAGGTCAGGAGTTCGAGACCAGCCTGGCCAA